AACGACCTTCCCGTTCAAGCTCGTTCCGTTTCGAGCTATTCCCCGAAACGCCATTTCCATTTGAATTCGTCCCGTTTCAACCCGTTCCCAAAACGCCTTTTTTATTTGAACCCGTTCCTTTTCAACCGATTGGTAGAAGGTCCTCCACGTCTCAACCTCTTTGCCATAATCTCCATCATTCTAATCCTGGCATGCGTACCTTTGCTGCTGAAGAGTATGTTCTGAAATATTTTTGCGTGTCAACGTATTCTTAAAATGGACACTTCAGACAAGCGCCAACGTGACATATTTTACTTCATCCACTTAAAACCTTTTTTTGTAGCGTTAGCTACACTGGCCGAAATTGAGCAGTTTCGCGTGGCCCTCATAATGAGCCGTGCTCATTATGCGGAGCGCGCGGCGGCGGTGGTGGCGGCGGCGGAGCTCCACATAATGAGCACGGCTCATTATGAGAGCCATACGAAGCCGCCGCCGCGCGCTCCGCCGCCGCCGCGCACGCCTCGCCGGTCTGCGGATTCCACAGAAGTCACGTCATAGCCGCGGCAGACGCACTGGCACCGCCGCGTGCCCAGCTGTGCGCCTCCGTTGCGCAGTAGCCAAGTCTTCTACAGCGAGTGACTCGTCGCAACTTAAAAAAAAAAATGGCTGACCAACTACACGCTGTATAAATATCCCCACAACCCAATTTTTTCTGACTCTGCACCGCAGCCACTTGATAGTGCCTCTCATTTTGTGCGCAGAAGCTCACGTTACATATATCCTGGCATAGCCGAGCTAAGCCATCGCAATTTTTTTTAAACGTGAAACCGCAAGACGGACTGGAACATGATGTTGGCACTCCGTCACGAGCTTCCGTCAGGATTGATGCGGTGCAGCAGGATGAACTAAGGTTGGCGCACCGCCACGCCACAGTTCTGTCCGCATTCGAACGCTTCTGCTTAAACTTATACTCATCTAAGTATAAACACTGCTTACTTTTCTGTTTTTGTAAGATGACGAACCAAGACATCTTGCGCCGGTGGCAGCGATAATTCCTATGCTCGTTTGAAGCAACGCAGTCTCCGTAAGCACCAGAAAAGCGTGTAAAGAGTGACTGCTGGTGACCAAATCTTTGTGCTTGTTTCGGGAGTGGGCGAAGTGAGTTCACCAAGGAGGACAGAGATTGTACGTTTAAGTGTACCCGACTATGACGAACAATGGTCGGAGTGGGAAGTTTGTTTCGGGACAGGGCGAAATGGGAGAAGGTGAAACAAGAAGGTCGTTTTGAGCCGGGTCGAGACGGGAACCACCAGAATTGGGTTACGGGTCACGCAATATCAGGTCAAGGGACGTCAATCCTTCCCTAAATTTACCGGGGAAACTTAATTGAATTCCAAGTTTCGTGACGTCAGCTACTGTGACACGGAATTTCCCGCTAAATTTAGTGGGGGCAATTGAATTGGTGTACAGTTTACGTGACGTCACGTCACAAGACAGAAATTGACGTCACGAGACCCGAACACCAGTCTAGTTTTCCCCCTAGCTTTTGCGGGAAATGTGCGGACCGTATTACTGACCGACACCCTTTTGGGATTTCTGGGGGAGGGCTAGCAGGGTGTAGCGGGGGTGTCAATAAAAGCATTTTATGAATTAAAAATATTAAAGACATAAACAAACAGTTTGTGCCATAGTACTCAGCATAACCTAAGTGCGTGAATGGTCATACTGACCGTCGTTTCAGGTGTACACATGTATACAGCCTAACTATTCACCCATCTCCCTCCGTGGGTGGCAGCAGTTAACTCACCAGAACGCTTTGAGTGAAAGTGGACGCACTGCGTCTTAAAATGTATACTGGGACGACTTCTCTGCCGGCGAGTTTCTCAATAAAGATTCCGAAATGAGAATTAAAAAAAAAGTAGGAGAATATTAAAACGATACAAAAGCGAAGCAATTTACCTCTTAAAACCTTCTATGGTACCTTAGGGCAATGCAAGATCAAAATCCACGAATGAATATTTTAGCCCAAGGCTGGCGCAGAATTGTTAAATGAAGATTGCCGGAGAATATATTAGATATATTGTATCAAATCTGATTTTAATATTTCCGTTTCCTTTCCCTACAGAAGTTAATTAACTCTACAGAACAAAAACCGTTTTGGTAAGGAAACTTTAATTAATTCTAGTCTTAGAATGGTCCTGATTCAGGTTTTTGCCCAAACAGTTGAAGCGATACAATTTTTGTCAGTTGCACATATTCCTTTTTTATGTCTCATTTTTTCACTAGTAGGTGCTTTTTTTTTTGATCTAACAAAATTCATTACCCTATTTCTTTTTCTTTTTTTTTTTCTTTTTTTTTTTACAAACTGAACGAGAGTTGTCACAAGTTCTACCGTTCCAAAGGTATATGGGACATTGAAATTTGCCTCGTTTAAATACGAACGGAATCAACTTATAATAATGCGTTGGAGAGAAAAAACAAAAAAACATCAACAGAATGTTCGCCTTGTGAAAACATACTAGGTACGGTTGATAGACTTGATAACTAGGTTTTTTGTCTCCGCTAGCGAATAAAAAAATGTCGAACACAATACAACAGTGGAGTCTTGAGGACATTCAAATTTCCGTTTCAATTGTTTTCTTCTGATTTTGCTTTTTGTTGATTAACATCGTTGTTCGCCATTTAGGCCACGAAATATTTGACATCATTTTATGTGTTTCTTCACGCGTATATTAAGATGCGACGACGAATTGTGCGCGGTTGTACACGCTCAGAAAATGCGCTTCTCGAACATTGTCAATTTCGCGTCCACCCCGCGGCAGTTGGAGTGAATTGGCAATCGTGCTCGAAAAATCGGCTTCCCAATGTAATGACACCAAGCTACGAGTTTTGCAACATTTGTCCGAATATATTTCCGGCTTACCGGAAGCACAGTCAGTAAACGAGCGAAAAAAAAAAGATAAGTAAAAATGCTTCCCTTGAGGGATGTTTTTTGTTTTCTTTTGCAGTTCTTAAATTTAGCGTATGAACGTCTCAGCAACTCAGATCTCCATGCCGTCATTTTATTTTTTTCTCTTCATCGAGTCTCCTTTAGGTGGTAGTTTTCTGGGTCCACTGATTTTATCCGTGACAGATTTTGAGATGAAGTAAAGACTACCCCTAATGCGACTCGCTCAAAAATTCGGTCGTGGTAATATTTGACGAATTACCATGGGCTTAGCATTCTATTGAGCGTAAACCTCAACGTGACAGACCTACCAGTTTCTTTTTAGCTTTTTAGGACCCTTATAAAAAAACTCTCCAGTGTGATTTCATTATTTATGCGTTCTATTAATTTAAGAAATAGAAAAGTACAAAAAAAGAAAATGGGTAAAAAAAAGGGTTTGTGCATTTTATTGTTTCGCTGGAGACTAGATTCAAATACGGGAGCCTTGCTTGTCTTCTAGAAATGCTAGAGGTCCGCACTTCTTTGACACGACGAGGACGGTCGTGCTCCGAACGTCGTCCCTTCCGTTCGGCCATTTTACCTTCAGTCTGCGCCTTTGTCGATGCGAGGGGGCGTGAACAACACCTCTGCACATATACGCACACCATTTCAATATTTACAGGTCCCTCACCCAGCGTGAGATCTCCTCGGCCCAGCACGCGCACGTTCATCGCTTCGGAAAGCGAGCAAATCACGCGCCATGCGCACGCACACTGAAAATGGAACCGGCCAGCAGCCCTTTTCGATAAAAGAAAAAGGTAGGTAGGTAGGTAGAAAACGTTTATTGATAGCCAAGAACTACGAATAGAAAGATTATCCGCGCCGCGGTGATCCTCGGATCTGGCAGCCTCTTGTGTGATTATGGGTGATGAGGGATGACTGTGCGCTGGGTCATGAGGGGTGTTTTTATATGGAGTCCTCCAGATCTGCCTTGACTACGAAGTCCAGAAGCGACTGAAGGATCCTCGTCCGGCGTTGGGCTTCGCCCTGCGGGTGCGTCCAATCCACGATTCTCTAGGGTCTTTCTTCCTCGGGTAGCGTCTCGATGGCTTCCACTCTGCACAAGGCTAGAGCATCCCTATCGAAAAGACCATCAGGAAAATCCTGATGGTCTGATGGAGTCGTATTTTGGGACGTCTGATGGTTTGATGGCCTGATGGTCTGTTGGCCTGATGGTTTGATGGTCTATTGGCCTGATGGTCTGTTGGCCTGATGGTTTGATGGCCTGATGGTTTGATGGCCTGATGGTTTGATGGCCTGATGGTCTGTTGGTTTGGTCTGATGGTCGAATGACCTGTCGTATTTTGAGACGCCTATTTTTTACGGTTTGATTATGGTGGTTTCATGGCTAATTTGAAACAGTTCGAGTTGGCCACAACTTAAAAACCACAACAATATGTGAATGCATAATCTGGAAACTTAATTATGTCATGCCTGGAGCATGACGAGGTGCATATCCCAATTAGAATTTAATTATATTGTCCACTGCACACTGGTAATCGCCAGCCCGACATTTGAGTACGGCGAATGCGGCTACTAATAAGAATAAAGTCAAACAAGCTGCATTGCTTTGATGTTTTTATTATGAAGTTATGAAATCATACATTGTTTCGCTGGGCGGAATGGCTAGGTGGTACAGAAAAACCAGAAACATTTGAGGAAGTACTATTGGGACCAATATTAGTTGAAGCGCCATGACGCATGGCGTGTGGTACTATCAGAGCCACCTGTCGGATTTTCAGTGAACCTCTGTGTTAGCTGAGGTTTAGGCAGGTTGCTTCTTGCACTCATTGTGCCACTATGAGCTGAAAATTGACACGGAACGGCACAGTGGTGCATCGAGCACAAGAAGTGATTTGTTTCTACCTCAACGCATACCAAGGTTTGCTGAACAATCTGAGAGACAACTCTCATCGCGTGCCACGTGCAGTGGCGTTTCAGCTCATATTGGCTGCGATAGTACATCTGTTCCATTTCAATAGTATTGGCAATATATAAATTAAGCTAAATTAATATGAAGAAAAGGGTAAAAAGGCTACAACATGAGGTGCAACCGATAACAGACCTGCAACAGCATGGGCAGTCCGTGGTGGGACCACGCATCGGGGGAGGACAGGCAGCAAAGGGATGAGCCTGGACATGTCAAGGGCAATTCAGAGATCAGCAATGAGTCCAAACACAGGACGACCATTGACATACGTAAACAGCAGAGTGGGCCTAGAGACGACTAAGGGGCAGTAAGAGTGACGTGCTTCATTGTAATTGTGTGACCATGCAACTTTTTGGAGAGTGAGCGAGCACGGCCTGATGGGATGGCAGTAGCGACCAAGCAACCCACAACCTTTTTCAAGTGGTCAGCTGATCAACAGACTACTTTAAAGTTGTTTGCATAAACATTTAGATATATTAACCTCTAAATAATTTATCTATACCATCATTTAAAATAATTGCTTGTAAACTTGAGACCCAAAATAGTATATTACTTAATTAAGGAAGTTAGAGTATAGATGCACATACCTTTGTAGTGATTTCTCTTGAGATTGGACAGCTTTTCTGACAGGTACCGCCGTATCTTCTGGTGCCGGGCTGCCCTTTCAGCCTGGCGGTACCTTTCTCCCTCAGGTGTAGTCAAAAGCAGCCTGGAATATTGAAATTCCAGGGTAATTATTTTTTGCAGAGCTCAGACTTAAAACAATATAGAACGTCATAAATACAGGCTGGAGGGTCATAGTTTGAGAAGACCAAGGGTAAATTAGTCTCAAATAAAAGCAATTAAGTGGCAGCTGGCACCTAACAAACCTTCAACGTTTCTTAGTATTTACAGTGTTCAGAGATCACCATGAAAGCAAAAGTACCGCAGTATCCTGATTTATGTTCCACTCCCAATAGACAGCTCACCCTGGCTTCTGTTAGATTCTTTTAAGCACAAAACAGGTAGCCCATGTCTATAAATCTCACTGCTAGGCTAGTGACCTTGTAAGAAATAAGAGCTACAACTGTAGATAAGTAGACAATGTACGTTGGAAACTGCTTATACTTGGTTATCATCCCTCGCTGTGGTAACAGCTTAGACACACCACAGAATTAAAAAAATAGTATCATGAGCACCAGAAAGAACAATGCAGTTCTATATAAAAACAATCTTTCACATTCCTTGAAAGATCTTCCATTCATGGCCTGGCTCTAAATTTAAAGGTAATTAAACAGTCTTTCAATGTGCACCTGGTGGAGGCCTCTGAAGCTTCGTTGGGAGGTAATCTAGCAATGTTGGGGATCTTGAACGTAGTCGCGACATGGCGAAAACCGCTATGTAGCTGCACTACACATCGGAGCAGCGCCGCTGTTTGGAGGGATACTCAACTGTTGGAGTAATCTCGCCCTGAACGCGATGACCTTGACATTACTTATCTCACACATAGGCGCTTAGACGGCTTAGTCCGCTTTGGTCCACGTAAAGCCCACAGGTGTTTCAAATGGCTAGGCTGTAACACGTCTACACCACCACTATGCACCCGAACGGCACAGCTCGTAGCCACGCCAGCTTTGCCGGATAGGCCACGACGCATCGAGCTCTCCGTTGACTTCTCTTCGAGCACTTGCTCGAGTTTGTTGCTTAGAACGAAAAATAAAATTATCTGTTCAAAATACAAATGTGTGATTATTTACGGTTATTATCTGTTATGATTGACTCATTCTTGGTTGGGTACCCCCATCACATGTCCAGGTGTTAGCAGACAACCTACTAGAGTAAAATCTCGGTGATACTAACTGGTACGAATTTTGGAATAAAACAAATTCACAAATTCCCCGGCCGAAGTGCATTGTGTACGACGTGAAAATTCTTGGGTGTTCCGAATTCCTCTACGCGCTGCGACGGCTGATACGAATGTGTGCTCCACAACTGATAGTGGCAAGGAGGCCACGATCGGCGACTGTAAGCTTTCAAGGCTCCGGGCGGCTGATTGCCTGATGCTGCCAGGGATCAGCCGCACATTACCCAAAAACTGGAGCTCAAATTACACGCATGTTACAATCGGACCCAAAACCCAAAACTAAACAAAATGCTAAGAAAACTGTGCAGAGTGGCCAGCCCCATCACCATCAACACATGTTTCAAATCCAATCCAATCTGAATCCAAAATCGCTTTTTTGTTTTTGCGATCTCGTGGAATGGTGTTTCAGCCTTGGAAAAGCAAAACCGATCTTACTATAAGGTTACGTCTAAAAAACAAAGTAACTGCGTTGCAAAAAACAAAAAACCGAGTGATGTTGGTGGTGTCTTCGGTGTGGTCCACGGTGACATGCGAGCTTGGTTGGAAAGACAAAGAAACCGAATTTTTGCTTGCAAGTTCTTGATGTAGGGCTTCAACAGCACATAGTGTAGGCACTTTCCGAGTATGTGCATTTGATAAAATGTTTTCCACAAAGTGTATGTTGTTCAGCCGTCATTATTTTATCTGCGAAGTAGAATCAACATTTATCTGCGCAGTAGAATCGACATTAATTCATTTTTTCAACATTCGTGGGTTGATTATAACCGTGTGTTACTATCGGGGGCGTGTTAGAATCGTGTAAATTGCATACAAGATATTTTCTGCCATAAATAAATGCACATTCATGCATTACTTGCGTTTCAAAATATAAATTTTGTTTTGCTTTCGTTGATACGAATTTAGCATGAAATATTTTACGCGACTCCGCGAGATTCATATCACGATTTTAAAAATGTTTGCTTAATGAGAGAGCTTGCACCTTGCGCTGAGTGAGCGGGGCAAACACCTTCTCTTGCCTCGCTGCCTTTGCCTTGTTGGAGAGGGTGCCGGTCACCGACCTTTCCAAAAGCACTTCCACTCACCCTATGGAAGCAGCAGTGATCTTGCAAAACATGGAGTCGCACTCTGCTTTCCGCATGTTGCCCGCATTCCTGGTTGACGTGCACACCTCGCCCGACATGGATCTGTTATAAACAAAAGCGAGAAACAGCTTCACATATACCAGTCGTTGACGTAGAGTGGTACCGTATACTCCAAGATGCGTTGAAAATGCACTAAAATAATTACATTAATGAAATTTAGGCCTTTAAATTTAAGACAGCACTACACATGAATTCCTATCTTCATGGGCGTCTGCGAAGCTGATGGGCCTACAAAGCTTCATGGCATCTGCATGAAACACCTACATAATCCCTTAGTTGCATCAGGTGAGCATGACAACAGAATGTTTTCCAGGCACTGGCTGTAACTACAATTAAGAGCCTGGCTACAATAATGTTTTAATGACTTCTTGTTGCAATCGATTCAATCTACTGTGCTTACATTATCTCAGGAGTGGCCAAAGCAAGGCTCGCGAGCCGCACGCGGCTCTTTGCGGGTCCAATTTCAGCTCGCGGCTCTGTGGAAAACGTGTCCCCTAGATGAAAAGGGTTCTAGAATTTAGAAATAGCTACAAGTCTTGGCAGCCTGGCAACACACTACATATATACACCTGGAATGCTTTTTGCCACATAGATGCGTCGAGTGACCCTGTTTCCTTTATTGTTCTAGAAAGACTTTCAACCGTATACGCATAACAGTTGTCAGGGGCAGTGACTGGCTTGTGAATCGTGTATTAATTTTTGCTTAGCAGTGGAAAGGACCTTCTGATGCATAGTGTCATTTGTTGTTATCGCCCATTATACTTGTCCTCTATGGAAATAACTGTTCCCTCCATATTGTTTCTTGTTAAAAGTAGCCCCCTCCCCCTTTCTTTTTTCCAGCGACTCTAAACTTTCGTAGTTTTGTCTGCGGCTCTAACTCCATGTCACTCTGGCCACACCTGCACTATCCTAAACTCTTTTAATGTATATTATACACTGAATGAAAGTGAAAAGTTTTTCTATTTTACCATTCCTTCCTTTTCTGGAGGCCGATGCTAGGATCCACGATCTCATTCTTTGCAAGGATGTCCTCGTCAGCAACTGAAAAAAAACAATTTCACATTAAAGAGGTACAGAAACCAAATTCCAGCGCTCATTTTATCGCTTTAATGAGTTGCAGGTTGCAACATAACCTCGAAAATACCAGTCGTTTGCTGAAGGGCACAAGCAAACTAATTTTAAAGCTAATCAAACAATCTTTCAATGTGCACCTGGTGGATGCATGTGGAGCCTATTTGGGAGGTAATCTAGCAACATTGGGGAACTTGCTACGTAGTCATGACGTAGGAAGGACATTCCTCGGTCATTCTGCTCAGCAACAGAGCGCAGCCACAACAGTAGAGTAGAGAGCTCTTTGCCGTTTATGCCTTCTTTCTCGGCATTATTGTTTCCACCCTTTATGAATGAATATCCTCTATGCAAGACATAAGCCATGTGTTGCATATGACACGTTCGGCTCTATCACCGCACAGCAAACTTCTTTCATATACTGCAGGTTCATTAAAAAAGTTACCTTTTTAATGCTAAAGCATGGGTTCTGTTAGTACGGTAAACATACGAGTACCCAGAGGTCAGGCCATAAATGACTCACGTGTTAGGCAGTAGGGCCCTACAGCACTTCCCGCATCAACAGCCGAGCCGCAGGTAGTCCTGTTATTGATAGAGCAGGGTAAGTCAGAGAAAGGTGTTTCTAGCAGCTCTGCCGGTGTGCCCCCTAGCAGCATTACTCACGCACATTGGGGTGTAGGCAGAAAGCATGGCATTCCTCATCAACAAATCATGACAACACATTGTTGCCGGCATCAAACTGGATCCCTGTGCTATTTTTTTTTTTTTTTGTGAATCAGTTGATTCTTTGTCTTCCTTGTCACTCCCGACTGCTTTACTGGCCTTTATGAAATAAAGAAGGCTTGGTAAACTTCAAAGCCTTGACTGAGTGGTGAAACAGAACAATCCCAAGGAAGTATAAATGTTAAGGACTCGACATGACATTACGCAATGTTGGGATTCCCAAGCTGCTTTCCACACTCACATTTTGTGCACGACCAGCTCTCTTTCTGCATCAGTTGGATTGGTCAGTTGTGTGCCCGTTTCGGTCGCTGCTAGCCATATGTGGCTGGCGCTGCTTTTGAGAGCCTTGCAACATCGTCACTTTCAGCTTTTGTCCTGACATAAACCGCATCTAAAAATTTAATTAGCGCTAAGATTTAACTTTTGGACACTCCCAGAAAAAATAGGATGTACCACATTACATAGACAGGTAATGATATTCTGGTGACAAAATTCCCACAAAAACTGCTTTGCGTTAGAGGGCACAAGGGCTGACGTTCCTGGGAGGAGCAGCTTTGTGTGAACTTGGAGATGCTTCAGCTGCCTGTTTGCGCCTGGCCAGTTCAGTTGCCATTTCCTCTTGGGTTTCTTGTAGGTACAGTCGGGGACAAAAGTCTCCAGGTCACGCAAGCTGCGACTGGAACGCATTGCTCTGCCATCTGCCGGCGGGTCGCCTGGTTTCGAGATCACAGAAGGGCGCACGTGCGTCCTATTGTACCTGCCAACGTGTGCGCTTTCCCGCTCTGCTGCGGCGCGGCGCCTAACTCGGAATCGGGCGCGTGGTACCACTTCGGAGATAGTACTTACTGACATGGCACCTATAAAGCAAGAAGTCACGGCAGCTCAATTAAGCGATAAGCTGAACTGGTTATAAAGCAAGGTGCGCTGACACGACGAAATGCGGCGCAATGCCCCAGGCGGTATCTCGAGTTTTGGAATGTATAGCAGACGCTCGTCAGCCGCCAGCGCTATCTCCGAGGCAATACCATGTGCCCGATTCCTAGTTAGGTGCTGTGCTGCAGAAGAGCAGGAAACGCACCTGTTTGCAGGCAGAGTAGGACGCGCGTGCGCTTTTGTGTGATCTCGAAACCAGGCGACCCGCCGGCAGGTGGCAGAGCAATGGGTTTCAGCCGCAGCTAGCACGTCCTGGGGACTTTTGTCCCCGACTGTACATTTGTGATCATGAATAAATAAATTGGTCAGGAAGCAATGGCAGCTGATGCAACATCAATGCAAGCCATGTATTATATGACTCGCATGAATTGACATTGAATCAGCCATGATTGTGCGCCTAAGTTTGTGCTGCGGAGGGCAAGAGTTTGGCGCTCTGTTCATTAAATGGACAGAAGCGCCACCAAAGGACTGACACTCAAGCGTGCTCTTTTTGCACCGAGTATTTCTCGAAGTGCAAGTCATTTCTTCGCGCTGACAAAAACGTCGCCGAGACGAGGAGTGCAGTGGATCGCTGCCTCATTTCAGTTGAAGAATGCTTAACCCAGCGAGTAAAATGATTTGATTTCAAAGCCAGGACCATTACGGAAAAGGCTTGTTCCCGAATCTCACCTGAAAACGAATTACCCATCGAACAGTAGCATTATGATGGTGCAGCGACAGAAAAGTTGTCGAGATGAGAGGACAGTCCGATCGCTGCCCTTTGTAGAATGCACAGCCCTGCGAATAAAGATAGTTTGATTGGAAAGCGAAAACTTTGCGGAAAAAGTTTGTCCATGCATCTCGCCTGAAAACTAATTAATGTGCTATTTATTGAACGGTGGTGTGCCAGTATTGGAGTAGCACATCGACAGGTTCCGTCTCGCGCTGGAAGACGGAAACCCAAGATATCTGACAAGTTTGAGAGTTTCTTGTTTTGACAAGCGAGTTCAAGAATGCTGTCTTTCATTTGAATCTAAACAGCATGCATGGTCAATAAATAGATCGGTCAAAGTAACATTCAGCATATCTGGTCGAAGCGAGTCTTCAAACCTTTCACAAATATTAAAACATTCGTAAAAATTTCCTAACGTCGCCGCGCATTTCTTTTCTTTTTTTTTTTTTTTTGGAGGGGGGGGGGGGGGGCTTTTATTTCACCATTTTACAGAGCCCTTAATTAATTTTATCTTCAAAATAATTTTGGCATCCGCGAGATGCTGGGTTCGTCATAAAACTGTGGTCGGAAGTGGCTCATACAGCTCGCCGACAGCTTCGGTGTGTTGTGCTACTGTACGCTATGCTTCGTTTAGTTGCTGCGCTCGGAGTGTGAAACTCGGAACGGTGAAGTACGAGTAAATTAGCGCAGACTTAAGGCACAGGAGCAATGGCGGCTTGTAGGGTGCCATATGATGTCACGTGCAAGGCAGTTCGGTCCATACGCTCAACTGAAGTATTAGCCCATGCATTCATCTGCCTAGCTTGGTGCCCCATCTAAGCAGTCTACAATATTCACTTTTAATTCACTCCGTTCTCGCAAAATCGAGTGAAACCTACCGAAATATCTAAAACCTCGAAAACACTCCACGAGGAAGGGTGAGGCTGCCGAGGCAACAAAGCGCACGAAACAACTGGATTTGGATTTGGATTCGAAGCTTTTGAAGACGCAGTTGCTCGAACGGATATAAGCGGCGAACGTCTTTCAAAATATAAAGTATACATTAAAATTAACGGATCGTCGAGTGTCGAACACTGCGTATGAACTTGAATGAGAACATTTTTTAGAGAAATCTGTCAAGTGTCAACACTGCGTGTAAAGAAACTGGCGCCGCAAAAGTAGCCGATGCGTCGGCAGTAGCCGATACATTAAAGACTAACTCATAATTTACGCGACCCTCGACAGTCCTCCGCCCGTGGCGCAGGGGTAGCGCGTCGGCATACGGAACGAGAGGTCGCTGGTTCGATTCCCCCGGGAGAAGGAAGAAAGTTTTTTTTTTTTTTTTCGTGTTTTTATTTTTTATTTTTATTATATCTATGATGGTGGCGGTGGTGTTGAAAACTTTAATTCCGTCTAAAACCCCTGCGAAGCTGCTTCGTTAACGACCGCCCTGGTCCAAAAGGGTTCTAGTGCAGCTGAATACTGAATAATGCAGGTTTTTCTACCTTTCGTGTCGCCGGTTTTAGCACCTTTCGTGACTCGACGTGTTTCCGCTCAAGAACTTTTAAGGTCGTCTGAACGACGAGACATATAAGGCCTTTCCTTAATAAAAAAAATCACATCAACCCATTGACCACGCGGCTGCGGCCCATCATATATCATACGCGAGATTTTTTATCGCGAATAGCCTCAAATCGCCTATTTTGTAGCGTGCAAAGTTACGGAGCCTCCTCGACTTTGGGCCGCTCATTCAGCGAGGCGGTGGCGCATTCCTCCGACTATTTAACCTTCGAGCAAAGTAAAGCAAAGCAATGGCCGCGCGGTCTGTTTGGAAGCTGAACTTAATTGCGCGCCGCGACCGTCCGATGCGCACAACGGTTGCGGGGCTCGAGGGGTGTCGTACCTATAAATATTAATGTGTCGACGAAAAGTCTGTCCACCTTCCGTTGGTAATGAAAGGCGTAGATGAAGCATATGCGAAACGATGAACCCTACCGTGAGTACGGGTTTCCACGGTGCGTGATTGCAGACGAACGCACAGTTGCCGGTGAATCGGGGACTCAGTGAGTAGAGACAAATCGCGTGACATATAGTTGTGTCAGCACCTCGCGAGCCCGCGACTCATCAAATGCTGGCAAATATGTCGCGACCCATATATCAATTGTTATTAAACGCCTCTGACGGCGCCGTCAGAATACCGCGAGCAACAATTAATCAAGCACTTTTGATAAACATTGTGCGCAAAGAAAGTCCCGACGGCCGGGAAATAAGGCGCTTTTGATGGAACCGAAGTGAAACATAAAACTTCTGACGACCATTAGACCACCTCTGACAGCCCATCAAGAGTGTCCAACAGACCATTAGGCGCCGTCAGGAACTTCTGACGGACCATCTAAACGCATCTGATGGTCCATCAGGACAGTCGGATGGTGCGTCAAGAATGGGCTGATGGTCCATCAGACTTTCTTGATGGTCCATCAGACCCTCTTGATGGTCCATCAGGAAGCCTGATGGGCCATCAAAGAAGTCTAATGGTCCATCAGGAAAGTCAGATGGTCCGTCAGGAATGGGCTGATGGTCCATCAGGAGTGGGCTGATGGGCCATCAGACTTCTTTGATGGTCCATCAGGAAACCTGATGGACCATCAGAAAAGTCTGATGCACCATCAAGAAACTCTGATGGTCCATCAGGAAAACCTGATGGTCTTTTCGATCGGGATGGCATTCCCATAGGAGATGGTCGAGCCTGGGAATGGCTTCTGGATCCTTGCATCTCTGACATCGCGGGTCCGGAGGGACCGCGTAGGGCTGCGTCCGTCGTAATTGCGAGAGGTTGATGTGGTACTTGAGCCTTAGCGTGATCGCGCCTTCGGTACGGATGCGCCGAAGTTGAACCGTTTCCTTTTTTTTGAAGGTGTTCACCGAAAGCGGATAGTCATCGTGCTGCCATTTTTCCGCTAACCGAATCTTTCGCATCTTGCGACATCTACGCAGCTCTTCGACGGGGTCGTAGCATGCCGTATCTTCTGGCTGTTTGACTGACTCTTTGCAGTTGGACGCCTGTTGGGATGGCAACTGAGAAATTATTCTCATCCCGCACTGTGGCGCTGAGTGAGCCATGTCGTTTCCTGAGATCTTCTGGTGTGCCGGGACCCATCGCACACCGATTCTTGTGCCGTGCTCCCTGTATAGGCTGAGCGCCGTGTCGAAGATGGCGTGTACCGCCGGGCTTGCAGTTGCCTTGAGCTTGTACATGTTTCGTACTGCCTCCTAGGAGTCCGTATGAATGACGAGGTTTCTCGTCTTGCCGGAGGCTGCCCGTATACTGCCAACGTGAACAGCAGAGCCGCTTCTTCTACCGTGTCCGATGTAAACTCCGTGCCTCGTCCGCAGGCAGTATCAA